CAAAAAAATGAAACCAGACCATCAACTTACACCATATACAAGAATAAACTCAAAATGGATAAAAGACTTAAATGTGACTCATGAATCCATAAATATCCTAGAAGAAACTGTAGGCAACAAAATTTCAGACATCATACGCAGCAGAATTTTCACTGATAACATCACCTAAGACAACGGAAACAAAGGAGAAAATGAACACATGGGACTACATCAAACTCAAAAGCTTCTGCACAGCAAAAGAAACAACCACCAAAATGGACAGACAACCCACTCTATGGGAGAGCATAATTGTCAACGATACATCAGATAAGGGGTTAATTTCCAATATATATAGAGTGCTCATACAACTCAACAAAAGGAAGACAAAGAACCCAATTAAAAAATGGGCAGAGAAACTAAATAGACACCTCTCCTAACAGGACATACAAATGGCCAAGAGACATGTGAAGAAATGCACAACATCACTAATCATCAGAGAGATGCAAATTAAAACAACAATGAGGTATCACCTTACACCTGTCAGAATGGCTGCCATCAACAAATCATCAAACAACAAGTGCTGGTGAGGGTGTGGAGAAAAGGGGACTCTAGTACACTGCTGGTGGGAATGCAGACTGGTGTAGTCACTGTGGAAAACACTATGGTGTTACCTCAAAAAATTAAGAATTGAACTGCCATTTGACCCAGTGATCCCACTTCTAGGAATATACCCTAAGAAGCCTAAAACACCAATCAGAAAGAATATATGTACCCTCGTGTTCATAGCAGCACTATTTACAATAGCTAAGATCTGGAAACAGCCCAAATGCCCATCAGTAGACAAATGGATAAAAAAGCAGTGGTACATATGTGCAATGGAGTACTATGCAGCTGTAAGAAAGAAAGATCTCTTATCCTTTGAGACGACATGGAAGGACCTGTAAAGTATTATCCTAAGCAAAACAAGCCAAGCAGAAAAAGACGAATACCACATGATCTGAGGAATGGGGTAGTCCCAGAGACGTGGAAGTGGGTTACAGACTGACAATCCCTAGAAGAGGGGGTGGTGGGGGAGAGATACACCACAGAACTTATATGCATGAACAATAGACATGGACAACAAAGCTGGGGACAGGGTGGGGAGGGAAAGGATGGGGGGAATCAGTGGGGGGAAAAGGAGAAACATCTGTAACAAAACTAAATTAATAAAAAATTTAAAAAATAAAAAAACACACAATGAAAAAATAAATAAAATAAAAATCAATAAAGAAAAAATAATAATAATAAAAGAAAAGAAAAAATCTTGGGGGGGGGGTAAATTCTTAAAAAAACAAAAGTTAACTGGTAATGAAGTTACCAGCACAGTGTCCAAGATGAAGACAGCAAAGAGGAGAGACGAAGGGAGGTGGGAAGTTTGAAGTTTTCACAAGGGAGGAAGGATCTGGTGGGATACTGGACCGACTAAGCCAGGATCAGAGCCTTTTTAAAGTTGAATGTCGGAGAGCTAGAACAGTTCAGAATTCAGTGGTAACCACGGCCGCTGAGGGATTACTTCCAATAGCCAAGATGAGGAAACAGCCTAAATGCCCATCCGTGGGTGAATGGATAAAGAAAAATGTAGTACAGATATACAATAGAATGTTCAGCCTTAAAAAAGAAGAAGAAATCCTGTCATACACAACCATCTGGATGAACCAAAGGGCATCATGCTAAGTGGAGTCAGCCAGTCACAGAGGGACCAATACTGCATGATTCAACTCGTATCAGGCATCTAGAGTAATCCAGCGCAGAGAATGGTGGTTTGCAGAATGCAGGAGGGTAATGGGGAGCTGTGGTTCAGTGGGTATAGAACTTCAGTTATGCAGGATGAGTAAGTTCCAGATCTGCTGTACAGCACAGTTAACAACACGGTACTGTGCGTGCTGTGTACATAAAAAATTTGTTGAGACAGTAGGTCTAGTGTTAAGTGTTCTTACCACAGAAACATAACGAGGCTCGAGGAAACTTCTGGAGGTGATGGATGTTTATTTTCTTGATTGTGCTGATGGTTTCACCTGTCCAAACTCATCAGCCTGAATACATTAAACGTGTGCAGCTTTGGGCATATCAATTATACCTCAATAAAGCTGTTTTAAAAGTATTTATTTATTTATTAATGTTTTCATTGATTTTTTTAGAGAGGAAGGCAGAGATAGAAACATGGATGTGAGAGAGAAGTATCAATCAGCTGCCTCCCGCACGCCCTCTACTGGGGATCAAGCCTGCAACCCAGGCACAAGCCCTGACCAGGAATCTTTCAGTCCATGGAATGGCTCTCAATCCACTGAACCACACAGGCCAGGCTAAAAAAAAATGTTTTTAATTGTTGGAAGTATTTATGTCCCCCTCTTTTTTTCCCATTGATCCCCTCCTCCCCACTCCCATCCTCCTCCCCAAACTATTGTCTGTGTCCATTGATTGTGTATATGTGTTTTTGTTTTTTTTAATCTTCACCAGAGGACATTTTTTCCATTTTTTGTTCAGATAGAGTGGAAGGGAAAGAGAGGAAGAGAGAGAGAAACATTGATGTGAAGGGACACATCGAGTGGCTGCCACCTGCACGACCCAACCAGGGTCGGGGACAAACTACAACCGAGGTACCGAGGTACGTGCCCTTAGTGGAAACCGAACCCGGGTCTCTCTGGACCGCAGGCCGATGCTCTAACCGCTGAGCCAAACTGGCCAGGGCTGATTGTGCATATATGCATGTAAGTTCTTTGATTTATCTCTTCCCATCCCTACCCCCAACCCCCTTCCCTCTGAAGTCTGTCAGTCTGTTCCCTACTCCATGTCTCTGGATCTATTTTGATTGGCAGCTTATGTTGTTCATGATGTTCCACAAATAAGTAAGATCATGTGGTACTCATCTTTCTCTGACTGGCTTATTTCACTCAGCACAATACTCTCCAGGTCCCTCTGTGTCATCTCAAAGGGTAAGAGATCTTTCTTTCTTAGTTGCAGAGTATTCCATTGTGTAAATGTACCACAGCTTTTTTATCCACCCGGGCTAAAGAAATTTTTAATCCAAACAAAAAATGATAAAAATAAACATTCGATTAAAAAACTTAATGGTGAGCAGACAACCTAAAGATGGATAACACTGATTCCTGGGGGCAGAAAGGTAGTCAGAAGGCTCCTGGTCCCACGGATAAAGGCAGCAGTGGGGGAAGTGTAAGGCAGGCCCCTACTGCCACTTACACTCAGGCCAGGACAAAGCCCCCTTAGGGACAGCCACCAGAACATCCTGGGGAAAAAGAATACTGCTCTGAAATTACATTAGACTCTCCTCTTCTAGCTGGGTCATCTTTAGCAAGTCACTCAATACTGACCTGAGAGGAGTTGAGTATTACTTTATGCCCACTGAATACTCCTGTGATAACCACGGCTGGCATCTGAGTACCTGCCATGTTACTCACCTGGAACAGCGCTCCTAGACCACCAGCCCAGGAGCAGTGAGGCAGAGATTTGGCCCCTGGCTTGTACTTTCGGCCAAGAACCTTTGCTTTCATTTCCCCTCTTCTCTCTCATTCCTGGAATGAGTGGTATAGTTCCGAGTTTAAACACCTGACAATTGTATCTCTGATTCCATGCAGTAAGAAATGCATTTACACTTCACACGGTGATCCAGCACACACAGCTGTATGTAAATTGTTTCATAAAGCAAACTTTAATTTGCTGGATGTGGTGCACTATTTCTTTTCTATTCTTTTGTATTTCATTTTTCAAAAGGCAAGTCATGACACCTAAAATGACCCTTCTAGTAGACTGCTATTCATAGTTTCAGAAACACCACTAGAGGACAAGGTGACTCATAAACTGATTATAATGGGAAAAAACACACCCTAAGGTCAACACTTCCCTTCAGCTGAGTTGATGTTTACTAGTTAACTTTTTTTTTTTTTTTTGGTATAATTGACCCATAACATTATATTAGTTTCAGGTATACGGCATAATATTTGTCTACATTACAAAATGATCACCACAATGCCTAGTTAACATCTGTCACCATACTTACAATTTTTTTATTACTTTTAAGATCTGTTCCCTTAGCAACTTTCAAATATGAAATACAGTACTATTATCTGCAGTCACCATGTTGTAATTACATCCTATGACCTATTTATGACTGGAAGTTTGTACCTTTGACCCCTTACACCCATTTTGCCCAGCCCCCCACCCCATGCCTCTGGGAACCACCAATCTACTCTCTGTATCTATGAGTTCGGGTTTGTTTTTGGTTTTTTTAGATTCCACATATAAGTGGGATTATATGGTATTTGTCATTCTCTGGATGAGTTTTTTCATTAAGGATTTCATTAAGGATAACTTCAAGGTCCACCCATAATGTTACAAATGGCAAGATGTGCTTCTTTTTCTATGGCTGAATAATAATTAAGATTATTTGTATTTATCTCACATTTTTAATCCATTCATCCATCGATGGGCACTTAGGTTGTTTCTATATCTTGGCTATTGTAAATAATGTTGTAATAATCATGGGGTGCATGTATATTTTCAAGTTAATGTTTTTGTTTTCTTCAAATAAACACCCAGAAGTGGAATTGCTGGATCACATAGTTTTAATATTTTGAGGAACCTCCATACTGTTTTCCATAGCTACATCAATTTACATTCCCACCAACAGGGCAAGAGTTCCCTTTTCTCCACATCCCCACTGTTTATTTCTTGCCTTTTGGAGAAAAGCCCTTCTAACAGGTGTGAGATAATACCCCATTGAGGTTTTCATTTGCATTTCCCTGATGATTAGCGATGTTGAGCCTTTTTTCATGCACCTGTTGATGTTTACTAGTTACCTTGTTTTCCAAACCCTGGAAAGTGTGCTACACATGAACCCCAGTGCCAAGACCCCATCATGCTGGAGCAATACTTCTCATCACAAACCAATAAATCCATTTTGATACACATCAACATCATGCACATTAAAATCAGACAGCATCTTCACAGGTCCAATAGTGCCCAGATCTAACAAACTCTGTTCGACTAAACTTTGCAACACCACGCCCTTCAGTCAAGGCAACCCTTCTTGTTCCAGAAAACCTGAATCTCTCGCATTATTGTTAAAAAAAGAAAGAAAGAAACACTAGAGATTCGTAATACTCAACTAAATGTGATGACTCGGCATGGATGTTTCATTCAATATGATTTTATTTAAAAACCTGCAAAGCTGAAGGAGGGATCTCATCTTTTGTTAAAAGAAAGCAATTTTCACAGAATAGTTTGTCATTTTAGCTTTGTGTGGAATAACAACAGGAAAGGAAGTTTCTGTTCAAGACCCTCACTGCAGCACACTCAGCCAGGTGCTTGGACTCTTACAGCGAGAGACATTCGGTCTGAGCGCACAGGAAAGCCTCCCACCGAGTGACACGGGAGTTCTCCCCCGCGCACACCAGCTGATTCTCACTGCTCCACACGCCCTGAGGAGCCGTCACTTGCAAGTTAAGAAAAATGTGAAAGGATTTCTTAACTCACTGCCTGCAACAAACCCAACTACTCGTCAATTCTTGACAATTACAAGGATAAAATACTTGAAATTTATTAGAGGTTCCACATTTAACAGAACTCAAATGTAAAAAATTAAGTCAAGTAACATGCTTTCATGTTTTAAAATGTTACTTAATAAACCTTACTGAGACAAAATATGCAGCACTTTCTTGTACTTGGTATTATAAACTGCTTCTGACAATGGCTACTTGATGGTCAAAAATACAATAAAACAGAAGAAACCATACAGACTGGTATATAACAATGCCAGCAGGGAATGTCATGTTTTAAATTTTGTTACTAAAATTTAACACGGGGAAAAAAGGTCTACAAAGCAACACACCCATGTTATTTAAAATGAGGTAGATATTCTGTCCTATGCAGTAAAGTGAAGATAAAAAATGCATACAACTTTCAAAAAGCTTTTTTTTAAGTTCAGGTTGTAGTCACTTTCACAAACAAGGCATTTATAAACTATGAGGTGGACAGGTCCTAGTCAGGCAAGCTCTGTACTTGATGTCCTGTTACTCTGAGATTCAATGATCAGTCTTGGATCAATCAACTGTCTCCAAAAAACAGTGATCTGAGGAAAAATACAAAATATTTAATTTAGAGATTTCATTTTGAGGTCATAGAGGTTTTAGTCAGTTAAACACTTCAGTCAAGTAAATTTCCATTTGTGCAGAATGGTTGAAGGCCTGAATCCCAATAAACTGGGTTTAATTAGGGTATAAAAACTTGTTTACCTCAAACGCAGCTAAATTTTACATTAAGCATATTTCATCCTTCTTTGATTTAGAGCAGAGGTTGTGGGGGATGGAGTGGAGTGAAGGGTAGCTAGTCACAAAGGGGATTTGCCCAACAAGCTTCTGTGGAGAGGCAGCCCACAGACCTCTTGGGAGGCAGACGTGACCCAAAAGGGTTCCCGATAGACCGCTGATGCCCCTTCTGCAGCTCTGCAGTTCTTATGCTGCGCTGCTTAAAGGGGAGGTACTTCACATTTCACCGAGAGAGCAAACGCTAGCGCTTGGCCATGTGGATGAGTGATGGGGGCCATCTACTGTCCAAAAAGGTAATTACAGCCTCTCTTCAGGCCTCTGCAAAGGCACAGAGAGGAAAGCCAGTAAGGTTTAATTTTCCAATACAGTTTCCAAGAATACATTTCAACCAAAAAAACGAGGCTGAATATACTGCAAATAAAGAAGTACAAAAGACTGGGCCAAATCTGCTGATCCTACCACAGACACTGAAAATGTCTTTTAGGAATAAATCTCTAAGAGTATCATGTATCTTAGAGACAAATCAAAGCATAAAATCTAGTCAGAGTTTCTACATTTGAGATAAAATGTGAGTTTGCAATACTGGAACTTATAGGATAATATCCATACCATTTCAAACATGAGCACCTTCAATATAAATTCTGTCTACTTTAATGCTAGCATTATCCTATATGAGCCACCCACTGCCGGCAACTAGTCTGGCTGCCTAAAAAGCTCGGAAACATACTTCCTAAAGTGGCAATTTAAGGGTTTAAACAAAGTAAAAAGACAGAACCATCATTTTATGTCATTCTTCAAAACCATCTTTGCTGTTTTCAGTCAGATCGTGGTAATGTCTGAGGGGTACACAAGGCGACATGATGGAGATTTCCAGAGGGGACTGTTAATGTTCTTGACCTGAGTGCTAGTTCCATGAGTATGTTCACGTATGAAAATCGTTCAGGCTATACTTACATGCACTTTTCTGAACCTATACGTCAATAAAAGACTTTTAAAATATGCTAGTCTTTTCTACTGAAACCCTTCCATAACCTTATATATTATGATTTTATGCAACTCTAGACTCTACGACTCTGAGACTCTAACATGTGCATCTTGTCATGGAGGCTCTTTAAGGTCCAAGATGACGCCCTATTTGGACACCTGGCACGGATGTGCCACTCCCCAGGACCCAGACCCTTTATGATTTTAACATAGACAGTTCGGGAAGCTGTGATGTCACCGTCCAGACAGACCCCAGTAACCAGCGGCCAGACCGGACGACGAAGCCTCCCAAGAGAAGCACGCCTACCTTTCTCTCCTGTGTCACGGCGTACTCCACTACCTCAGATCCATTTTCGTTGTGATAAACCAAATCAAATTTCCCAGGTTCTTTCACGACTGAAACTAGATGGCAGGGAGGAGAGACAGTAAGTCATTTCCCAGTAGTGAAAACACTCTTCTGCAGGCAATTTACACCATTAGAAAAACCACCACACACGGCAGCGATGTGGAGGCTGGGTACGCACATGCAAGCATGGAGTGCTCCGTGACAGGACACCCTGAGAAAACCCTGCACCGGCACACGGGAGCTTCTTGGCCATTTATCAGGGACGATCTTTCCTTCATCAAAAAGAAATGAGCTTGATACACTATCACTAGTACTTCCAGAAAAGAATGTATAACCACAAAATAATCCCAAAAGATCATTGATGTGTTTCACCAAGGGAAGGTAATCTGAATTCTGCACATTTCCTATTATTTGGCTCTGTTGTCAGAAATTATACATGCTTACTACTTGGAAAAAATAGCAGTCCTCACTTTGCATGGTAGTGTGAGGCAATAAAGATGACATTGCAGGCTTAAATCATGAAAAACCATCTTAATGATCAATGGGGAAAATTATGATTGTTTCACAATCTTTTTTTTAATGTTTTTATTGACTGTTTTAGAGAGAGAGGGAGAGATAGAAACATCGATGTGAGAAATATCGATTGGCCGCCTCCCACATGCCTCCTACTGGGGATCGAGCCTGCAACCTGGGCATGTGCCCTGACCGGGAATGGATCCAGGAATGGAACCGGAACTTCTCAGTCATGGGACAATGCTCAATCCACTGAGCCACACTGGCTGAACTGTTTTGCAATCTTTAAAAAATTGTGTCAAAACAAGAAAACCTTTACTGTGTAAGGAAATGAAAAGAAGTAAAACTAGTATTTATGTAGCACACTGTAACTTAAAACATTAGAAACAATGAGGACTGAAGTGTTCTATTTCTTCGTGAGAATCTTATCAAGGGCTGTTTGAACAGTACTTGCCTTCTTGTCAGCAACAAGGATAGAGAATCTTTTCTATGCCTTTGGAATTGTCACACTCATTTCCAAGTTTGGATCAGCTTTCAGTAGTTTATCCTTTGAGCATCTAATGTCATGAAATAGCTCTGAAAGTTTGTTTCTTTTTCATAATCCTGAGAAATTTTTTGCTGATATCACTTCTGGGACACCTTTATCCCTTCCATCACCGATACCCTCCTCATTTATGTCAAGAAGTTCATATAAACCGCAATATCAACATTCCCATGGTTAGCTATTTCTTCTGTAATTTCACTTAGACTTGATTTGAATGTACTTTTTGCTTTTATTGTGCTTTCATCTTTGTTGGCCAATTCCCTATTTCGATTATCCATTTTGTCAACATCATGCGGGTTTATCACTGAGGGACAAGGAGGCAGCAAAACCGAACTGTGTGTATGGGAACTGAGTGACAGGAGCACAGCAGCCGAGCACCCAGACTCTGAAAGAAGTGATGTGGCTGATCACCGATCGTGATGGGCATGTTATTACACAGTGATCTGTGGACTAAAGAGCTGGCAGTACTTTATGCAATTACTTTCAGTTAACATACACTATGTCATTGGAAGTTACGTAGCTAAACCATGGTAATTGAAGTACATAAATATCAGAACCATGCAAAGTGAGGACTACCTGTATTTCTATCAGAAAACAGATAAAGCTGTTCCTTGATGCCTCAAAGAAAAAGTTCTAATTAGATGTCATCACTGTCAATCACCTGACAAGCAGTGACCAGGCTATGTCCATGGAATTTGACCATGGGCAAACCCCTAAGAAGGGGGATTTCTTCAAATGAAACCTCATCAGAATAAAGCAGTGTACATGACATCTAATCATTTACTTAATATCATAAAGATATTTTGTTGAAAAACCCTTTTGACTAACTTCAGTGTACTGGAGTTTTGATTATTTTACTCACTACCATATTTAAACACAAACAGAAACTAATTAATTGCCTTAGGATCTGCTAAAGAAAAAGGGATCTCCTCTGGTCTCTGGCCAGGGACTGCACAACACAACCCAAGTTAAGTCCTCTCATTCCAGGATTTCAGAAAAATAATGAGCAAGGTGAATCAAGGATAAGGCAGAATAATGTGTGAAGAGTGTGTGTACACAAATACTTTAGACACTTTATTTTGACTTAACACACAAAAATATGTTCATTTGTCAATCTTTTGAAATAGAACTGAGTAGATTTCATGAGTCCACCAACTAAAGCTGTCTTTCTTTTATAAAGCATATCCTTAATGTATGTCTGCAATTTGCACAACTTCCAGTTTTGAGGGGCTTTTTAAGCGATGCAAGAATGCAAAAACTAGCAAGGCAATTTAAGTGCAAAATATTCCCAGATTTTTACCAAATTCCTCCCAACCCCTTATATGGCTGACCCAACCACACAAAACTCAATGGCAAGTTTTTTAGCAACATTCCTGAGTCAGCATTCAGCTTGTTTCATAGAAACAATTATTTCTGAAATCAATTTTAATTGGTTTATGTAATTTTTATGAAATTACACAATTACAGTAACACGAACAACTTGCCTAACAGCTTGGGGAACAAACCCAGCACCTGTCAGTGGACACACTACCCACAGTCGGGCGCCAGCCCCGGCCGCTCTGTGCTGGCAGAGGTAGCAGAGAGTGCCAGTTAATCACGGAGGCCAATGAAGACAGCAGCTCCTGTGCACGCAGCTACTCAGAAACCAATGCAGAGATGCAAAGTCTAAATTTCAAGTGCTTTCCATAAGACTCACCAGGTACAGATGAAAGAATCTCTATATCTATTTGCTGGGTCTCTGGATTGTGGCTTAATATTTTTCCTTCCTTTCAAAAATAAAAGTCGAAGTCAAAAATCAACATACAAAACATTATGAATATACTAGAACCACTGAATCGTACACTTGAAAATGTTTTAAATGGTGGATTTTATGTTATGTAAATTTTATCTTATTAAAAAAAATTTGCTGAAATAAATCGGCACGTAGGTGAAATGCAACACCCACACACCAAGCCACTATTTTCCCTGATCTTAATCACCCCAGGGTCAGGTACGACACAGCTAGGAACAGCCCCTATAGACCAAAGCCTGCTCATCCCAGAGCTAATCCTAGACCGTTCCCTGAACCCTGCCTGCCTGTCCCCAGACCCCACAACGGCTCTAGCCCAGGCTTTCTCCTGGCTCCTGCTCCTGCCTCCTGACCATACCCAGGAGCCTTCCTCTGGCACTGCCGGGCATGCACTGCCCCTCCTCTCAGGGACTGTAAGTAATACACCCCTCTTCAACAGCATTGGCTTCTCTGTGTCTCACTCAGTCACCTCCATTAATTTAAATTCCACAGGTACAAACACAACAGGGTCAGGGGCTGAGAACACACTCTGAAGAGAGGTTTGACTCTTAAAGGCAAGTTAATGAATAAAGCCGGTGATGAAGCAGGGTAACAGCACTGTGGTCAAAGCAGAAAAGTGGACCTAGCTCGTAAGGCACAGCGGTTAGAGGGTCAGCCTGCACAGAACGGTTGCAGGTTTGATCCCCACCCCTGGGGGCATGTGCAGGTGGCAACCAATCAAAGTTTCTCACTCCCTCTCCTCCTCCCTCCCTCCTTTCCACTCTCTCCACGCTCTCTAAAAAAAAATCAATGGGAAAAAATATCCTTGGGTGAAGATCAACCAAAAAACAAAAACAAAAAAAATGGAACCAATTTTCTCTCTCAAAATGTTTTTTTTTTTTATCCTCACCCAAGGACATTTTTCCATTTTTTGTACAGATAGAGTGGGAGGGAGAGAGAGGAAGAGAGAGAGAGAGAGAGAGGGAAACATCGATGTGAAAGGGACACATCGAGCGGCCGCCACCCGCACCACCAACCAGGGCCAGGGACAAACTGCAACCAAGGTACATGCCCTTAGCGGGAACCGAACCCGGGTCTCTCTGGACCGCAGGCGGACGCTCTAACCGCTGGGTCAAACTGGCCAGGGCTCAAAATGGTTTTCAAAACAATTTCAAAAAAGTTCTAAAACTACTGGGAAATAAAGTAAGCAAATAGGTTTCCAAGGTAACAGTTATGATGACCAACATCCACTTAATGTGACTTTTAAAAAATTAGTATCATCTAGAATCACAGTTGAAAGAGGTTGTGGAATGTATCAATTTTATACTTATTTCCATTTCCTCATATATCACAGAACCAAATTAGTTATACAGGGTGACAAAACATCCTGGTTTGCCCAAAATAGGTCCATTTGCATCTCCTTCCAGTATAATTATCAATATAATATTAATCCTTTTCACTCACAAGTATCCTGATTTAGATGATAAATTATATGGTCATCTATATTAAGGGGCTAAGAAGATGAAAAATATAAAACACCAAATACCCAGAACTAATCCATCTAATACTTTTATGAACTAATTCTTCTTCTAGCCTGCTTTTGAGGGAAAGTTCTTACCAAGATTTAAAAAGTCTTCCAAGGTATGAACTCAGATTAAATCAAATCTCGTTGTACTTTATACTACTATATTAAAATTACCAAGTGTTACCTTTAAAAAATAAGAAAGCATGCATTTTAATCCAATTTTCAACAAAATGCTGACTGGATGAAAAAGAGAAGGAAGCCTGTATTCTGTAATCCCACTAATTGAGTCCAGTGTTTACTGAACTGTGAGAATGCTTATATGCCAATAGAAAGTCCATACAGACATTAAATAAATAAATTCCAAGGATAGTATTTGTCAATTCTGTGGTTAACTGATAATGCAAAAGAAACCATATTAGACTATAATAAGCAGTAGTAATTCAGATATGTAAAATATATTCCTATGATGAAAACAATCCAATTTTCTGGCTGAGAGCTTTTATATTATTTTCTTTCAAAGTTTAAGATGATGGGGAAATGGTACTCAAATAAGTCTGTGTGTCTAAGCTAATTTTAAAAAATGAGTAAAAAATAATTAAATTTGTCATTCTCGTTCTATATTCTCCCCAAGTGTAAGGAAAATAACACTGGGAGATTTCACAGTGATGCTATTAAAAAGTTTACAGTTTGGTAATTTTTTAAAAATATGTTTTTATTGATTTTAGAGAAAGAGGACAGGAGAGGGAGAAAGAGAAAAACTGATCAGCTGCGTCCTGCACGCCCTCCACTGGGGATTGAGCCCGAAACCCCAGCATGTGTCCCAATCAGGAATCGAACCAGCGACTTCTTGGTCCATGGGACAACACTCACACCGGCCGGGCTAGTTTGGTAATATTTTTATTTTCTACTTTATACCATTGTTTACTCAAAAAGAATTTGTATTATCCATAATAGCAACATTAAATATGATTTTAGCTTCTTTAATATACTGACAATTATTTTTAAATAAAAAGTCTTACCTTGTAGTCAGAGACATCAGGAGAATAATCGGATGTTAGTTCCAAAAGCTAAAAAAAAAAAGAAAAAGTCCACAAACACACAAGCCCTGTGGCTCCTCGACCCTACCTCTGAAAACATGCAGAGCCCGACTACAAACCTGTGGCTAAACAGCAGTTCCGGTGGCTTGGGGGGAACGGGTGATATGTATTGCTTTCTTTTACTGAGCACTTGCTATGTTCCAGACACTAGACTAAGCCATTTTTATTCATGTAGAAAACAGTTACTGGGCACCTACTACACACTAAGCATGAAAACAAGAAAGATATGATTTGGGTGGGAAGGGGTGTGTAGAGGTGTGTGTGTGTGTGTGCGTGTGTGTACACTGCTAATGAGTAAGTTTACCTGAAGGGAGAATAATATTTTTGTTGTAACTGTTATTTTAAAATATACCTTAAATGCAATCTTTTCTCCAACTTGGGGAGCAGCTGCTAACAGTGGTAACAGACTGTAGTCCTTCTTGTGTGTCTCTACTGGATTCTGAAAAACAGTATTAGTCATGTGACTTTGTCACTGGTGAGAAAATGTGAACCCATGACATCAACTGCAGACACACTCCAGGGGGAAAAGGGAAGTGGACAACTCACAGTGAAGACTACTTGCCTGGATAACAGTAGATGAGTTTGTTACCATTTCATTTAAATGCTGCTGCTTCTGATATTCAGTATCTCTATTTAAAACATGAGGAACAGCAAGCCCTCTTCCTCGACCTCTCCCCCGAATGCCCCGACCCCTAACTCCCTTCCAAGAAAGAAGGTCCTCTCCTCTACCCCAACCTCTTCCCAAACCGGCAGGGAGAGTCACGTTGGGAGGAGGACCAGGAGCCTGTTTGCCACCATTGGAGTCAGAGTGCTTCCATCCTGTAGCATTTGCAGTCTGTGATGAAGACCCCAGACCTGGACCTCTTCCTGGAAACAGGCCTACTGTCTTTAAGAGCCCGGCACCCTTCCCCAAGGGGCTCTTTGACACCATGCACTGGTCATCTGACTCTGAACCAGAGTCTGAACTAGATGATGTTCTGACAGTCTCGTCCTCGATGAGGGCAGAGTTAGAGCCAGTTTCTATAGCTACTTTGTTTGCAGTTGGGTTTTTTATAGAGGGCCCTTCCACTGACAATACAGTTGACACTTTCTCTGAGGACTTTCTGACCTCCAAGATGACATTTCTTAGACCATCACTGGTTGACTCATGACAAGACTCAGACTCTGAGGAGGAACTGGGACTATCTTCTGTATGAACGTCCATACCACCTTTGCTCTTGGCTTTAACCAGGCTGTTTCTAGCAGAACCTTTTGGAGGACTACACTTCTCAACAGTCCACCCTTTCCCTGTCTGTGCTTTAGAAGACTTGGGACTCTTCTGTTTTCTATACACACACTTCTTCTTCTTTTTTGGTGATTTTCTTTTTGTCTCTCCGACATCATCATCTACGACGACACATGGAGCTTTCTTTTTCCTCTTGTTTTTTTTCCTCACTTTCTCATCTGTGACAGTTTTAGGTTCTATATCCAAGGTATTCTCGTTATCATCCTGTTGTCTCTTCCAGTGCTTCTTTGAACTTCTGTAATCAGTTTCTTCATCCTCCTCCAACCTAAACGACCGCTTCTTTGCTTTTCTAGGTAAGAAATGAGTACTATCACCATTACTGACTATTACAGGATTCTCAGCAACTTCTCTGTCTTCTAATTTAACTCTATCAAAAGAACAAGAGAGAAAACTAGTGAGTAACTGTGTCTCCAGGATGTTGTTATATATATTGAGATGACTGCAAACTGTCAATGCTCTCAGTCGATGAAAAAACATCAAATCATTGAAGGACAAAAGACTCTTTTTGACAAAATGGCTTACATGGCTTCCCTTATGGTCAACTTTCAAATGACTACTTTTATGTATTGACTTCTTCTGCGTCCCAAACATTTTCTATACATTTTCTCTAACCACCACCACAAAGTAGGTAGCTTTCATTTTAAAACAAATCACAAAATTACAGTTCAGATAAATAACTTGTCCAAGAGCCAAAGCTAGTAAGCAGCAGAAAAGGGATTCAAACCTCAGTCTGTCTAACTTCACAGTGTTTCCACTCCTAAGTTGCCAACCACCAATAGTGATAATGCTAAGTATCCAATTTTGTTTTTAAATGTGGGCTGCTTTTTTTAAAGTCAGATTTTATTTTTATTTTGTTTACATTTAGGAAAATACTGAAAATTTTATGTTTTCTGGGCTAGTGACAGTCATCATAAAATTCCATGACATTTTGTCATTATTAACTATATGTATCAACTTGACTGGACCATGAGTGCCCAGATATTTGGTTCAACATTGTTCTGGGTTTATCTGTAGAAGTGTTTCTGGAGGAGATTAACATCTGCATCAGCAGACTGAGTAAAGCAGACTGCCTTTCCCAAAGTGAATGAGCCTCACCCAATTCACTGAAGGCCGGAATAGAATAAAAGGCTGAGCAAGGAAGAATTCACTCTCTCTGCAGAAGTATCTTTGAGCTGGAATATGGGTCTTTCCCTGCCTTAGGACTCAAACTAGGGCTGGAACTTACACTATAAACTCTCCTGGTTCTCAGACCTTTGAACTTGAACTGAAACTACATCATTAGCTTTCCTAGGTCTCCGGCTTGCTGACCTCAGATCTTGGGACCTCTCAACCTCCGTAGTCTCATGAGCCAGTTCCTTATAATAAATCTTATATGTATATCTATGTATCTATTTCTACAGTATCTCCTATTGCTTCTGTTTCTCTGGAGAACCCTAATACACACATCATCTAAAATTATTTTGCACCCTGGCCAGTTAGCTCAGCAGTTAGAGCGTCGGCCTGTGGTCCAGAGAGACCCGAGTTCAGTTCCCACTAAGGGCGCGTGCCTCGGTTGTGGTTTGTCCCCCGGCCCTGGTTGGGTTGTACGGGTGGCAGCCACTCGATGTGTCCCTTTTGCGTAGATGTTTCTCTCTCTCTCTCTCTCTCTCTCTCTCTCTCTCTCTCTCTCTCTGTCTCTCCCTCTCTCCCACCCTGTCTGAACAAAAAATGGGAAAATGTCCTCAGGTGAAGATAAAAAAATAATAATAATAAAATTATTTCATTACAGGAAAGGAATTCTGTTCCTCCATTAACTGGAAACAGCTCCTCCTAATATGTGCAGCCCAGTGATGGACAGCTGAGTGTCCCCAATGCCAAGCACAGAGTGGGCACTCAAAAAATGCCTGCTAAAAACACACATTTTACTTTCAATACATTTATATCTATCTAGCTATATATTTCATCAAGATTTTTTTTTAGTAACCAAGATGTTGACAATCATATTTGAAAATAAAGTACAGTTGGTAAATAAGAAGACATATTATAAGCACTCTTTAAATTTTTTTTTTTTTTTATCCTCACCCGAGAACATTTTTCCATTTTTTGCACAGATAGAGTAGGAGGGAGAGAGAGGAAGGGAGAGAAACATCAACGTGAAAGGGACACATCGAGTGGCTGCCACCCGCACGACCAACCAGGGCCGGGGACAAACTGCCAACCAAGGTACATGCCCTTAGCGGGAACCGAACCCGGGTCTCTCTGGACCGCAGGCCGATGCTCTAACCGCTGAGCCAAACCGGCCAGGGCACATGCCCAGGGCACATGCCCAGGTTATGGGCCCAATCCCCAGTGGGGGGCATGCAGGAGGCAGCCAATCGATGTTCTCTTTTATCGATGTTTGCATCTCTCTCTCAAATCAATAAAGAAAAAAATATTTTTAAAAAAAATTTGTTTAAGGAATAATAATCCTGTGGATTTATCTCAATGTGGTAGTTGAAAAAACAATTCTTAATTATCCTCAGGGCACAAAATACACAGTCATATACAAATCAAGGTTAAAAAAAAGCTACTGATATCAGGAATAGGATAAAGAGAGAAATAAAACTCTGAAAGATCAGGGATTTAAATTATAAAAACACTTTACCCTCTGTTCCCAGCTGTAGATGTCAGCATCAAGCAGCAAGGAAGTATTCTTTTTTTTTTAAATCCTCACCCAAGGATATTTTCCCGCATTTATCTTCAGATAGAGTTGGGGAGAGAGAGAGAGAGAGAGAGAGAGAGAGAGAGAAACATTGAAGTGAAAAAGACACATGGACTGGTTGCCTCTGTTATGACCCCAACCAGGGCTGGGGACCAAACTACAACTGAAGTACGTGCCCTTGACTGGAATTGAACCTGTGACTCTTTGGTCTGCAGGCCGACACTCTAACCATTGAGCAAAACTGACCAGGGCATAGGAAGTATTCTTTAAACTGGCAAAAGCTAGCTTGGCATCCTGTGAATCTAAAATCTATTGGGGAACCTCCAGCGTATCAGATTGTTCCTTGTTATTCTTTTTTTTTTTTCAGTTAGCAATAATTGTGCCTCGGATAAACCTCATTGGCTACAATACTGCCACTGTGCAAAGCTGTTCCTTGCTTTCTTGGTCAATTTGTATAATTCGAGTTTCAATTCTGAGACAGCAAACTAGACCCCAACTTCCCATAAACTTTGAAAATGGCCACAAGACTTTCTGTCATGGTAGACGACTAAAATCACTGGAACACAGCAGTGCCGCCATCTAGAATAGGCAGGACCCCTGCCTTGCAGAAGAGCCTGCAACTCCCTCATGCTTTCAAAAGCAGCCCTTGGCATCATCTCACCCACCCTGAAGACAACAGATCTGCGCACACTTGGCATGAAGGTATGGCCTGTGATTGCTGCAGCCTCACTACCTGCTGTTCCTGAGAGAAAAATTACAGTATGGAACATGTTAAGACTGAGAGACAAAATGCTACCTGGAGAATATGAAATGGTTCACCTGCTTAGTTACCACTCCTTTCAGGGTATACTTTCGCTGGCAATGTTCTTTATTTCTCTACCAAGAAATGTGGATCAAACAAATGCAGCTGCCCTTTTACAAAGGGAAGTGAATTATCTGTGTAATTAGCGGTGGAAGAGATATGACTCCAAGAAAATTTTCAGACCCTGCATCCCTGGACAGTGTGTGCAGTGGTTAGAGCACTGGCCTACACACCAAAGGGTAGTGGGTTCAATTCCTGATCAAGGGCACGTACCTGGGTTGCAGGTTCAATCCCCCACCCAGGTCAGGGCATGTGCAGGAGGCAACCAATCAATGTGTCTCTCTCACATCAATGTTTCCCTTTCTCCTTCCCTGCCCCACTTCCACTCTATCTAAAATCAGTGGAAAATCCTCAGGTGAGGATTAAAAGAAAAAAACAACAAAAAACCAGACCTTCTCCTTTTCTTGTTTTATTCCTCACCTGAGGATACTTTTTCATTTATCATCAGATAGAGTGGGGGGGGGGGGAGAGAAACATCAATGTGATAGAGCCACATCGAGTGGCCACCCCCTGCACGACCCAACCAGGACCGGGGACAAAACTCATCCGAGGTAAGTGCCCTTGACCAGAATCGAATCTGAGCTCATTGGTCTGTGGGCCAACACTCCAACCACTAAGCTGAACTGGCCAGGGCCAGACCCTCCACTTTTCATTCAAACTCTTTGCAGGGCAAACTCGGTAGTATTATCAAAATGTAAGGTATTCCACCCTGGCTGGTTTGGCTCAGCAGTTAGAGCACTGGCCCTCATACCAGAGTTGTGGGCTCGAATCCTGGTAAAGGGCATGGACCTGGGTTGCAGGTTCGATCCTGGCCCCAGTCAAGGTCGTATGAGAGGCAACTAATTAATGTGTCTTTTTCACATCAATGTTTCTCTCTCTCTCTCCCTCCCTTACTCCTTCCTACTCTGTCTAAAACTCAATGAAAAATATCCTCGTGTAAGGATTGAAAAAAAAAGTTAGGCCCTGGCCGGTTTTGCTCAGTGGTTAGAGTGTCAGCCTTCGATCCAATGAGTCACGGGTTCAATTCCAGTCAAGGGCATGTAACTTGGTTGCAGTTTGTCCCCAGCCCTGGTTGGGGTCATGTGGGAGGCAACCAGTCCATGTGTCCCTCTCATATCAATGTTTCTTTCTTTCTCTTTCTCTCTCTCTCCCTCCCACTCTATATGAAGATAAACAGAAAAATATCCTCAGGTGAGGATTAAAAAAAAAAAAAGTTAGGTATTCCCTTTACATCTGCAGTTTCACATCTAGGATTCTGTCATAAAGAAATATAGCCCTGGCCGGTTTGGCTCAGCGGTTAAAGCGTCCGCCTGCGGTCCAGAGAGACCCGGGTTCGGTTCCCGCTAAGGGCACGTACCTCGGTTGCAGTTTGTCCCCGGCCCTGGTTGGTCGTGCGGGTGGCAGCCACTCGATGTGTCCCTTTCACATCGATGTTTCCCTCTCTCTCTTTTCCTCTCTCTCCCTCCCATTCTATCTGTACAAAAAATGGAAAAATGTCCTCGGGTGAGGATAAAAAAAAAAAGAAATATAGACATGCCCACCCCTGGCCGGTTTGGCTCAGAGATTAGAACGTCAGCCTGCAGACCAGGGAGTCCCGGGTTCGATTCCGGCCAAGGGCATGTACCTCGGTTGCAGTTCGTCCCTGGCCTTGGTTGGGGTCATGCGGGTGGCAACCAATCTATATCTCTGTCACACATTGATGTTTTTCTCTACCCCCTACTCTGTCTGAAAATTAAAAAATGTAAAAATATCCTTGGGTGAGGATTTAAAAAAAAAATACAGACATGCCCATCTGCCCTGCCTGACACCGCCCCCTCACTGCCTG